CTCCTGGTTTGGGCAGCATGTCCTCGCCTCAGGGGAGCTGGAAGTAGGCTGGCTTGGTACTGTTAGCCCACTTCACAGAGAAGAACCACTGCCCAGAGATCCCTGAAGACTTGTCCAAATTTGCGCAGCTTGGAGTCCCCTCTCTGGATTTCACACTCTTTCCAGGTCCCCTGCAGGACTGCCCAGCTCCCCAATCACGCTGTCCCTTATACTTAGCCTTCAGTGCCTCCCCACTGTCCTGTTCCACCCTTTCCAGTGCGTTCTCATGGCATTGCCTGGTGCCAACTCCCCAAATGCCTGACTTTGGGCTCTGTTCCCACCCACATCACCCAAGTCACCACTCAGAATATGCTTGCCACTGGGGATTAGAGTGAGGGTGACCTTTTCCTGGAGGAAGTGGCCTGGAGATGAGGTGCTTGTAATGGAGGGGCAGGAGGCACAGGGCCAGGGGCATGTGCCGCCTTGCCTGGATCTCTAATCAGGGGCTGTTTCCGGGACTTGACATCAGGTTTCTCATTGAAGAATGTTGTTTCCAACTTCTGGATTACCAGGTTATAGAGAGGGATAACAGCTAACCCTTAATAAGCGCTCACTGTGTGCTGGCTGTTTTACACACGTGCCTAATTTATCTTACAGATACCGTGAAGTTACCATTCTACCTATGCAATCCTCTGCTCAGATGTCTTCTCTCCCAGGTCACCTTGGGAGCTGCCCCCCGGAAGGGCAGGGCAGGACGGGGAGTATGCTGGCTACAGCTCAAGGCAGTGCCCCCCTTGGCTGCCCTGTGTATCTCACATCAGTGCCACCTGTGGACTGAGTCTGGGGGTCAAAAGAAAACAGATATGTGGGCATCACAGCCAAGAACTGACAGCCCTAAATAACTGATTCCCTGGTCAGGGCTCAGAGCCGTGTTTGGGACCTGAGTGTCACTTCCCTTGATGCTAGGATGCCCTTTTCAAACAACCTCAAGCCAGTTAGAGAAACAAACAGGGAAAAAAATATGAGCAGATGGTTCACCAGAGTAACAGGTTCATAAAACAGATCTCAGCATCGTGAATCATTAAGGACAGGTGAAGCAAATCTATGCAAGGGTGCCGTACACTTATTAGAATGGTGAGGGCCCCGGTCCCATCTTCTGGGCCTCTCTGCTGGTCCCTGGGAATGGAAGGCAGATGATCTGGTTACCAGGCATCCGGAGGAGCAGGAACAGCTCAGGAAAAGAACAGTGATGCTAAGTGCTGGTGAGGATGTGGGAGACAAAGGAGTCCTGACCGTGGTGATGAGAATGTTGCAGGGCAGTCTCATCTCCGCATACTGTGGCTGTCCCTGTGAAGCTAAATACACGCCTGCCATGCTGCCAGCAATCTCGTTCCAGGGATTTGCCCAGGTATCTTCATATATATCCACATGAAAACTTGCACATGAACATTCACAGAACTACTGCTCTCCATAGCTGAGAAATGAAAACAACCCACCTATCCATCACTTCGTGAATGGGTTAGCAAACTGTGCTCAGGCTGGGTCAGACCAGACTCTGGAACACTGGGGTCCTGATGTGGGACCTTGTGGCCGGGGGGCGGAGGCTCAGAGACCAGGAGGTTTTAGAGCTCAAATGGAGGAGGGTCACGAGGGCATGACCTGGTGCTTGTCTCTGTTCTGTCTCTCTCTCTCTCTCTCTCTCTCTCTCTCTCTCTCTCTCTCTCTCTTTCTGCATCTGCTTTTCTCCTCTCTCTCCTCTCTCTCTGCTTTCTGGCTGCCACAGGGAGAGCAGCTGTCTTCTCCCATGCCTTTCCACCATGCTATTTTTGATTTGCAGCCACAATACCATGGACTGGATCCATTAGAACTCTGAGCCAACATAAACCTCTCCTCCTTTCATTTGCAGATATTTTGTCCAAAGGTTAGGGAAGCGATTAATGCGGGAGGGAAAAGGTTGGTGAGCAAGGAAACTGTTAAAAGAGCAAGTGGAACTCATTTCATGCATCAGCAGAGCACTGTTGCTGCCAACCAGGCCCTACCTGGTGCTGGGCACAGAGGCGGGGGTTGCATAGACTTCTCACTCAGTACCTAGGGCCAGCCTGGCTGGCCAGGACCTGTGGGCTGGCCGGAGCCTTTCTCTAGGTACCAGTGACCAGGTTTGGCCTTGCTGGAATGTGGATGGTCAGACCCTGTGTCAGCCCCAGAGGTCAGTGTGTGGCTTTCACGTCACTTGGGCCAGTGACCTTGAGCCTCAGTTTCCTTATTCTTCAGCTCAGGGATGCTGTGAGTACAGAGCTAAGCTGAGGCAGGGGCTGGTGCCAGCCTGGTACAGGGGGGAAGAAGGAAAGCAGCTCTGACTCCTGCTGTTGGGAGGTGGGAGGTCCCCCATCAGCCAGACCAGGAAGCTGTGACCCCATCGCTTTGTTCCTGGGGGTGGGGGTGGAGAGGGTGCTCAGCGGAGAGGGGCAGGGGTTCCTTGGCTCAGCTTCTCAGGCCCTGTTTCCTGAAAAGCCACACACTCCTCTGACCAAGCCTTTAGGGAGAATATTTTAGCATCCGATGCCCAGGAGCAGCTGTGTAGCCTTGGGCCAGCTGCTGCATAGGCCACAGCCCTGCCATCCACGTGGCCCTGCTAAGTGGATCAGGCTTGTCCTTTAGGCCAGAGTTAGACAGGCCAGGATTGATACCCTGGTCCACAGGGTCAGTACCAAGCCAGTACCAGCCCAGTGTGCCTGTCATCTGGTGTTAATCCCTTAAGTGAGGCAGAACCCTAAACCTGCAGTCCAACCCAGGATCTCCAGGGCCAAACACCACGTTTCAGGGCCAGTATGGTAGTATTCCTGCAGCCATCTTTCAAAAAGAGTTTTGAACTGACAATACTTGTGCATTGCTGCAAAATTCAGAAACGTGGTAATTATTCCTGCCTTTCCTTCTTCCTTGGGCATAAGGAAGAGATTCATTTTCTTGGGTCTCTTACTAGATAGATAATTTTACCTAGTGAGGCAGGCACTTTTTTAGATTCCCACCAGCAATGTACACATGTTCCAGTTTCCCCATGTCTTTGCCAACACTTGTTTCTTGGTGTTTTCTCTTTTTTAATAGAATCCATCCTCATGCATGTAAAGTGGTGTTTCATTATGGCTTTGCTTGGCATTTCCCCAGTGAGAACTGGTGTCCAGTATCTTGTCTTGTGCTTATTGTCCACTTGTACGTCTGCTTCTGGAGAAATGTCCACTCAAGTCCTTAGCATGTACCGGGCCTTTGCATGTACCCCCAGACTTTTAAAAACTTTTTCTTTTGAGACAAGTTCTTGCTAAGTCACTAAGATGTCCAGGCTGAGCTCGGACTTTCAAACTTCCTGCCCCCAGCCTCACAGAATAGCAGTGTCCACCGCCATCCTGGGCTCCTTCATTCGCTTTTTTGAAACAGGTAGTTAATTTGTTGTTGTTGTTGAGTTTTAGAAGTTCGCCGAGGATTCTGTATATTAATCCCTTATAAGACCTGTGATTGACCAATACTGTCTGCCTTTCTGTTGGCTGCTTCTTTACCCCAACCATTCCCTACTAATGAACACTTAATGTATGCATCAGTTAGCTCCAGCTAGCATAGCCAACTCCAAGAGTTGGTGGCTTAAAAAACAGATCTTACTTTCTCACAGTTCTGGTGCCTAGATGTTCAGGCCCAAGCTGCTGGCAGGGCTGGTTCCTGGTGAGAGATCTTTTCTTTACATATGGCTGCCTTCTCCCTGTGTCCTCACAAGATGAGAGAGAGAGAGAGAGAGAGAGAGAGAGAGAGAGAGAGAGAGAGAGCCTGGTGGCTCTTCCTCTTATAAGGATGCCAGCACCATGGGCCAGGACTCTACCTTAATGACCTCATCTAACCTTAATTTACCCCCTGAAGGCCTTACCCTCAAATACAGTTGCACAGGGACTTGGGAGAAGGGAGACAGTTCTTCCCAGAGCAGCTTGTTTTCACATCAAATTATTGTCAGCTAAACAGGACACAGGCTTAAGTGACCCTCAGGCTCAGGGGCTTTGACCCAGAAGCTGGAGCACAGGAGACTCCGATGAGGCTCTGGTTTTGTGATGCGCTGCAGTGACCTTCCCTTGACTCGCTGGCTGCCTCGGAGCCTCTGGGCTCTCATCCAGCTCTGCTGGGGCATGAAACTGTGCAGCTTTGTCTGTCTAATTAACAGCCACAGATGCAGCACGTCTTGGATATGTTTCTTATTATTTCTGGTGAATGGCTGGTCTTTCCAGCAACTGTCTCCAAGACTGCTGTGCCTCCAACCCCCCTTATTCCAGCTGATGGGGAAACGACGCCTTACTGGTCCAGCGTGACCACTAGCTTGAGCTGCCTCTTTTCTTAATTAGCTGCTAATGCAAGCATCCTTCCTCCCGCCCCTGTAGATACCAGTCAGTAATTTCCAACCCAGTTTTTTGAACCAACCTCCTATCTTGTCACCTCGCCAGTTCCCTGACTGGATGATTAATATGCTTTGACATATGTTTAAGAGTAACGGCTGTTAAGCAATGTTCCTTCCACACAATTACTCACAGTCGGCAGCGTCTTGAGGCAGCCATCGTTCACCCAAGAGCAGCTTACGGTAGGATTCACTCCCGCCAGGGTGCACAGTCAGGACGGCTTGGCAGCGAGGGTTCTTCCCGCCCTGCTTTTCGTGTTCCTTCAAAGTTCAGAAGATGAATAATTCCGTTTCCTGCTTCCCTTGCTGCTAGAGATCTAGATGGGAACTGGGCTCTGCCCAGTGGAGTGCTGCAAATACTTAACAACCGTTTTACTTTATTTAAATAAACATTATTATTTAAATAAACTTATTTAAGTACATAAATAAAGGAAAAAGGAAAGTGCCCGGCATGTAGTGCTTGCTGATTTCTTGATGGCAATGTTTCCAGCATGGTCAGTTTCAGTGTCGTGCTGGTCACATGGCATTGCTGGATATGGAGTCAGCATTGCTGTGGCCACTGGCTCTTGCTGAGGGGAGCCACCTCCAGTTCAGCCCAGTTCTGCCAATTCATTGCTTGCGGCTTCACTTCAGGGCCAGGCGTCTCCTCCTGCTGCTTTTGGCTGAGTGAAGTTGCGAGGCTGTTTTCCCTGCAGCAGTACTCCAGCGTCCGCTCAGGTCAGTCGGTGGGGTCAGGAGGCAGGTGTGGAGGCAGCTCTGTTCTCCGCTTGATGCCCGGGGCTGGGCTGGCAGACAGGGGCTCAGGTAACAGCACCCTGCTGGCTGGTCCCCAGGCCTTGTTCTGGGCATCGCTCCAACAGGCCCTGCCTGTGTCTATTCTTCCAGCTTTCTCAATAAAATGGTTAAGCCCCTCATTTCCTGTCAAAAACCCTGCCTGCTTAAAATTGTTACAGTGGTTTCTGTTTCCTGTAACTAAATCCTGACTGATATAAACTGGAACCTGAGACCACATGATTTCTGTTGTCTCAGAGCAGCTCAGGCCAGACCCCTAACCTGTGTGTGCAGAAGGGTTTGAATGAGCTGTGAGATTCTCAGGAGCAGTGACGAGAATGCTGGCACCTGTTGAGCTTTGTGACTCCCAGAGCTCTGGAGACAGCTTAAGCAGTGGCTGAGGACAAACCGTCCCGCTGGGACCTTATGGCCTCGCGGGGCTCCTTCTCCCGGGCTCTGGAAGGCTGTCTGCATTCACGCAGCAGAGGCTGAATGGTAGGATACTAGTCTCACACAACCAGTCACAGTTTGTCACCTAGGTGATCACTTTAAATGCAGTTTGAAGCTTTGCTGACTCTGGTAGGGCTCTTCTTTGGGGAGCAAAGTGTTCCAGAAGGGCTGTGTATACGGACAGTCCCAGCCACCCTGACACTGCCCCTACAGAGCCAATCAAGGAGCACCCCTTTGTTAAATGAAAAGACCTCCAAGAGGAGGGGGCTGTTAGCAGCTCTTTGCACCTCAGCGTGGATGAATTTCCAGGTTCTTTCCAAGGCAGGAGCAGGTACAGAGTAGAGGGCTCAGTTTCCTGGAAGTGAGGCACAGCTAAAAAGGAGTCTGACAGCCAGAACCAACCAACGGGCACTGGAAAAAAGGTTGGTCTGCATGGGACCCCCACAAGGTGGGAGCTGAGCTCTGGAACAGTGGTGAGACTGACTCGGGGCAGCTCTGCGCTTTCTTTACAGGCACAGGAGCCAACCTCTCTCCTCTCTGGGCCTCTCTGTCCTCATTTGCAAAATGAGGCAGGTGATACCTGCTGTAATTAAGGCTCTCCTGAGGATGGAGTAGGATGCAGAGAATCACACTCCAGGGAAGCAGGTGAAGGGAACATGTCCAAAGTGTTCAGGCTGTAGGGAGACGGGACAACAGTGAACGTGACCAAGACGGACTTCTGGGGTTGTTGATTGCCAGGCATGATGAAAATCCACCTCCCTTCACAGGACATATATTGTTGGTCTACATTTCAATCAATTGCTAGGGCTACTGTAATTTGACACCACAAATCAATATGATTTTATTAAATGTATCCCTCCGAAAGCTTTGTCTTCTTCTACGAGAAATTTAATTGGGGGGAACTTCTAGATATACAATTTGCCCAGAAATGTGCTTTTCCAAAATAAGTCATGAGAGATTTGAAGCCATCTGGAGGATAATTCCTGTGTCTGACCCCTGCGGTACTATGAATTCCTGCATATTAACAGCAGGTTTGACAAAACACGATAGCACAGGGGTTGGGAAGGAGGAGATTCAAGACCCAAGTTACTTCAGTTCAGTCATGCTGCGTGACCACGGGAAGTTTTATTTGTGTTTAAAATTTAAAACAGGCTAAGACTGAAAACTACAAGGTGCATGCAAATTTCAGTTTATATATGAAATATTTTGTTACAGTGGAACAATGTCTTTAAAAATGAAATGTGTTTTCTTAATTCTTAAAAGCTACAGAATATACCAGAAAAGCGAATATTACAGAAATTATAGTGACTTTTACCTTTTGCAAATGGTTTGATTTTTTAATGAGCTCTAATTCATTTTCCATTAAATTCACCATTTTTAAATGCGGCGGTGAGATGTAATTCTAGAACATTTTGATCATCTGAAAAATAAATTTCATACCTTAGTAGTCATTTCTTATACCCTCTAGCCCCAGGAAACCACTAAACTCTGTGTTTGCCCCTTGCAGGAATTTCATATAAATGGAATCACGTAATATGTGATTGTTTTGTTTTGTTAAAAACATTTAACGTAATGTTTTCAGGGTTGAACTGTATTGTAACTGCCAGCACTTCATTTTTATGGCTGGACAATATTCTGCTATATGAATGTGTTGTATTTTGTTTACCCATTTATAAGCTGACAGGCACTTATCTGTCTCTTGTGAATACTGCTTCTATGAAGATTCATGTATGAGATTTTGTATAAACCAAATATTTTCCATTTTCTAGGTTATATACCTAGAAATGGAATTTCTGGTTTTATGGAAACTCTGTTTAACTTTTTAAGGTACCACCAAACTATTTTTCCAAGTGGCTGCACCACTTAAGATCCTAACCACTAGTGTGTAAGGATTTCAGTTTCTCATCAATATCTATTAGTTGCCTTTGAAAAACATCACAGTAATTTGAGTAAGTGCAGAGCGATGGCTTATTGTGGTTTTGCTTTACTTTTCCCTGAAGGCTTGTTATGCGTTATTTGGCCATTCATAATTTTCTTTGAATATCTGTCTTAGTCACTTTCCTCATTTCTGAAACAAAATAACCAGCATGTGCAATTTAAAGGAGGAGAGATTTATTTTGGACTCGTGCTTACAGTCCATGGTTGGCTATATCTATGCCAGAAACAGCACGGTGGTGGTGAGGGAAATGCAATGGTCATAGGGAAGCAGAGGCTGCTTAGGAGAGAGCCAGGGAGGGAGCTGTGCCCTTCCAGGTCATGCCGCAGCAGCCCACCTTTGCTGAGGAGGCCCTACCTTCCAACACCAAGCCACCTGTAGTGCCCCCATAATCTAATCACAAGCCCTCACCAGTGAGTGCATGAGGTTTTACAGGGTCATCCAGACAAAGATCATAACAATATTTATTCAAGTCCTTTGGCTGTTCTTTTTTTTTTTTTTTTTTTTTTTTTTTTTTTTTTTTTGGTCTTTTTTTGTTTTTATCGGTACCAGAGATCGAACTCACAACTGCCTGCTTACAAGGCAGGCACTTATGCCGCTGAGCTAAATCCCCAGCCCCCCTTTGGCCGTTCTTAAAGTTTGTCTTATCAGTGAGTTTTGAGAATTCTTTATATATTCCAGAAGCAAATTTCTTACCAGATATGGATATATTTTATTACACTCTGCGGAGTGTCTGTTCACTTTCTTAATGTCCCTAAAGCATAAGAATAAGAATGTTAAATTTTGATGATATCCACTAATGTATTATTTTTCTTATGCCATCATATCTAGGAAACTAGACTGTAGACTGGTCAGCTTTCTTGTCTCTGAATACCTGATATTCTCAAAGTAAAGAAGTTTATTTGGCTCACAGTTTTAGAGGGTTTGGTCCATGACCAGCTGCCTCCGAGACACATCATATACACAGTGATTCGTGTCTCCTGACCTGGTCATGGGGTATCTCTCTGACTGTGTCCCTCTCTCTGATGTTTTCCTCTTTTCTCTTCCTCTCCCTAGATTCTCAGGACAGAGCCTTCACTATAAGCATTGTCTAGCTTCCTAAGGATAAAGGAGCCTTGGGGAATCTGAGGGCTGGGGAACAGTAGAGTGGCGATGGCAGGTGGGGTCTCTTCACCCCAGGCTGGCTCCCTCCCAGATGCCACATGTGGTTCCGACCTTGGCCTTGGCCATGCTACTGGTGGCTGGTGTCCGGTGGGGCCAGCAGTACCCTGGACGGTGGGGCCCACCTGGATGCCTCTCCTGGGAAGCAGGGTATTTATCTCCTTTTGGCTACCCTCCCTCGGGAGGACCATCTCTGGAAAAGTGTTTTCCTTCTTGGCCTTCTGTTCACGTCACTAGCTGGTTGCTATTTACCTCAGACTCTGCGGAAAGCTGCGTGTGGACATGAGGATTTGTCCTCTTCCTGGGCCAAGGCTGTCTCCTCCGGTGCTGGAGCACTGGATCATGAAGGTATTACTGTCCCTAACAGTTGAGGGACACAGCAAATCTCCTCTAAGGTGCAGCCCAGCCTTGCTTAGCTGCACAAATGTGGTATTTAAATGTTTATTTTTAGTGGCTGCTGGTTAAATAGTAGCCCTTGCTTTGGTGGGAACAGTCCTGAAAAGTAAAAATAAACCAGATCTTCACTTTGGCAGTTGATCCTACCAGACCTTGCTGGGTGGAGCCGGGCCCAGAGCCCCCACAGCTAGAGTGAATGACGGCCATGGTTGGAGGGCCATGCTGGGGGCCAGCTACTCCCACAGCTACTTGCTTAGAAGCCTGCAGCCTTGTCCCCTGCCCCCTGCCCATGCCAGCTCACCCATGTCCCACTGGGCTCTTCTGGTTGAAAGAGACTGGAGGACCCGGGCTCATGCAGTTATTTGACTTCACACTGAGGTCAAACAGTGAGGTCACACTGACCTCAGCCCTGCTCGGCAGGCCCTGGCTTCAGAGAGGAACACATGACCCCCCCAGCCTGGGTTGACCTGGATGCTTTGGGCTCTGTCTGTACTTCCTGCCAGCCCCGGGTCTTGGGCCCACACCTGTTTGCACCAGCCAGAGTCGGGCCCTGGAAATGAGGAACAGGTGAATCCCTTTGTGCTGACATTGGAGGATGTCATGGTCTGAGTGCACCCTTGGGGGGATCCTTACCCTGCTGCAGAATGGACAGCTGATCCTGGAGGGCCTTGGGGGGCACTGATGCAAACCCCCAGCAGAACTTCTTTCTAGTCATCACAGGGCCTGGCATCCCCGCTGAGTGGAGAAGGCCTGCCTTGGGTAGGGGGTGACTGGAGGGCATGACCACCTGCCTTGTGCCACACTGATGACCTCCAGAGTGACAGCTGGCCCCTGAGATGGAGACCTCAGTGCCCTTTTCAGATGTGAAACCCATGCCTCTTTCCGCAGCTCAGAGCTCATAAAGGAACATGGCTCAAACTTGGAGTTGTGCTGGGCACAATGGTGCATGCCTATAATCCCACTTCTCTGGAGGCCGAGGCAGGAGAATCACAGGTTCAACATC